CAAATAGGCCATTTTACCCAGTAAAATGGAAGGCAAATAAAATGAAAAAAAGGACACAATATGTTTGTTGGTACGTTGTAGCCATTACCATAACATGAAAAAGACGCCATCATTAATATCTCTCTCGCCTGGCTCATTCATTCTATCATTTTGTGATTGAAATATTCCGTTTACCCTTTTCCGTCTCTTTCATTTTGCCTTCATTTCCGTCTGCTTGTCTGTCACTTTCAACTACTTTCCTTTCTCCTTTTTTTAATTCTCACTTTCGCTTTCTAATGACTTTATACTTTTGCCCTTTCCGCTTGCTACGTTTGAATTGTCATTGTTCTCTAACTCACAACTTTCAATTCTCATTTATTTTTGGTTTAACATTTCTAACATCATGTTTCTCTGCTTCATTTATTAGGTTTCTTCATAGTTTTCCTATTATTTTGCATTTCCTTTTAAGTTCAACCATTGAGTATAGGTCTTATTTTCTTCTTTTCTGGTATTAATTACTTTCTGCTGGGTAAGAAATAAAAAAAAAATGAAATGAATACTTTCGTTTATATTTAAACTGTTTAAAAAAATATTTTCCTTTTTTATCACACACTCTTTTTTTTTAATTCTTATTTTCTGTCATCTGTTTTTTTTAGCTTTTCTTTCATTATCTCCGGCAGAATATTTAAAAAAAAAAATTTCAACTTTATATTAATGCTTTTTATAATTTTCTAATCTCTCCAAAAATAAACATCCTTGAAAAGACGATAAACTACATCCGACAGCAAGGCCTCATCAGGATGTTCTGAGATGCTTGAAACCATCTCTTAATTACTAGTATTCCGAGGTCCACCCTGACCCGGATTGGTAGTACCTGTTAGGGTCCCAGCTATGGGAAAATAGTTAACTCCCAAAGAGGGGTCAAAATACTATGAAAGTTTAAAAATAGGTTAAAATACCAGAAATATTTTGTAAAATATTATGGTTAATTTGCAGTGTAGCTCCCGCATTCATTTCGCTTTCATATTTCCTGAAAACTTACATTTATATGTAATTGTACATGGTCCATTCGAATCTGGCTTTATAAATTTCATAAAATCTACCGTTTTGAAGTTATCGACAGTGAAATTTGGGGTTCGATCGCGTCGTTGGTGGCAGCCATTACTTGCGTTGTTTGCATACATTCGCTGCGGAAAGTTAATCGCGGAAGACTACGAAAAACTAAGCTCGGAACTGATCTTTCTTGTCTAAATCTGTCTCAATTACTGCGCACGAAAACTATTTACGTACACACGCTCCGTTTGCGCAATGATACCTACACTGATAGCTATTCTGCAGAGAATATATACAAACAACGCCAGTAATGGCTGCCCTCGACGTGAATAAATCTGAACTTTCATTGTCGGCAACTTCAAAACGGTAGATTTTATCAAATTTATCAAGCCAGATTCGAATGGAGCATGTACAATTACACATAAATGTAAGTTTTCTGGAAATTTTTAATGCGAACTGAGTGCGAGAGTTACACTGCAAATTGATCCAAATTATTACCAGAAATACATTATTACGAGCAATACATTAAAAAAATATTACCAGCAATACATTTTTGAAAAAAAAAAAAATATTACCAGCAAAACATTTTTGAAAAAAAAAATTACCAGGTATACATTTTAAAAAAAAAAAATATTACCAGCGATGCAATTGGAAGAAAAATTTTACCAGAAATAGATTTTTAAAAACCAAATTAACAACAATAGAAATTTTGTAGACATTAGATAACCTATTGATGTTGATGTGCCGTAAAACAAAGCAATCCAAAATAAACCAAACCAAAACTAAAGCTATTCTCTTTTAATCGACTCAAAGAATCTCTTTTGGCTTCCATTAGTACGGCTGATGCTAACCTCCAGTGGAGCAACTTTTTCGGCCTTACGTTTTCCACAGAGATGAATTGGGACGATTATATTCATTCAGTTGCTAGGTCTGCTGCTTGGAAGGTTGGTTGACTATATCTAGCAAGACAATTGTTTTTCGCCAGAATATATTTTTTTCACGTTTATAAGTCTATCATTTGTCCACGCTACAAATATTGCAGCCACATCTGGTTTGCTGCTTCTATATGTCTAGAGATTATTGACAAAATCTAATGAAGAATTTGCAATGTTATCGATCTTGACGCGGCATCTCGGCTTCAGTTACTTTCCCACTGTCGTAACGTTGCTTCCCTGTATCGTTACTACAAAAATTTTTCATGTTAATTGTTTTAATGAGCTTTCCGCTTTGGTACCATGAATTCATAAATTTAGACGCATCACTGACTAAGAGATACGTTTCATAATTTCACTGTTGAAATTATTGTATTTAACCTTAAGTTCTTTGCTAATGTTTTCTTTTTCCTCGATTCACGCTATCGGCCTCTTGCTTTTCTGTCAAGTACTATCATCAAAAATTTAAATGAATTGTTAGTCGTTATTTTGCGTCTCCTTCGAGGATGTTCTTTTATTGTCTACTTGTAGTAACCGCTTGTATTTTAGTGTCTTTTACAGACTTGCTTTCGGGTGAAATGATTAAAAACTATGTTATTCGTAATTTTGCACATTTCTTTTTATTGTTCTTTTCCCCTATTTTCAGTTTTCTCTCTCTCTCCCTCTCTCTCTCTCTCCTTTTCTCTCTCTTTCACTCTCTCTCTCTCTTTCTCTTCACCCAAACACAATTATAGGTTGGTAATTTTTCTTTTACATTTGTATGTATTCTTTAATAAATTATTTTTCTTGATGCGTCTTTTTTCCTTTGATATTCATTTTGTTACTTTCATTTTTATTTCTTTTCAAGCACACGATATTTTCTTTCTTTGCTTTTCATTGATTACTTCATCTTCGTTTCCTCTCTTTTTTATTGTTTACAATTTCATAGCAGTTCATTTTATTTACTTTCAGTGTTGATTCCTCATTTCATTACCTCTTTTTGGTACGGGTTCTTCTGATAACAAATATTTTCTTCTATTTATACATTATGTAAAATTTTGAGATTGCTAATGTCTTTTTTCTGGGGGAGGGAGGACGACGGATTTTATTTTATTTTATCGTTTGTAATTTTTAAGCTTTTCAATTTTTATTTTCACGAGATTTTTTTTATCGAACTTTGCTACATATATATATTTTTTTCGTTTTGTTTCCTTTTTTTTTCTTCTACACACATTTTGCGAAATCGTTTTGCCTCGTCTTCGCTCAAAGCTACATGTCAGTCATTTTGTTTTTTGGGGACTGTGGTGATTGGTCAAAGTTTGATAGCAATTGCGCGCGCATCTTTCGTTAATCAAATTCCAAGCAATTTCCGGTGTTTGGCAGCCGTGTCAGAGGTTATTAGAATTAAGCTGTTTGATCGGGACACAAGTATGTGTTGAGAACACACTGGTCATTGACAAGAAAACAGATCGATGAAACACGGATGGGAGAAAAAGGAAATTGAGAAATCGGTAAGGGAGAGACAGCTAATCGGGTGTCTTGCACGTATTGCAGCTTGGAAAGTTTGAGAACTATTTCGGCCAAGGCAAGTGAATTTTTCAAGGCCTTCCCGCATTAAGACCAACAATGTGACCTGGAATATGCCTCGGTGAAGGAAAGAAAATTATTAAGAAAGAAGAAATTGGAAGAAAACTGGGTGATTTCTAGAAATCAAGGCATGAGACAGAATGAATGAAAACAAGCTAAAATAGTAGGGTGAAGTATATTTCAAGAAAGAATTATTGAAAAATATTGTAGGAAATTATGGATGCTAGTATTATAAAAATGATGGGGATGGGAAGGGAGGAATTGTAAAAGAATTGAGTAAAATATGATTTGTTTCAAAGAAATACATATGGAAATTAAAATCAGCAAACTAGTTTTTAGAAAATATTGAGAAAGAAAAGCAAAAGGGAGAGCTTTTAAAAGGACCATTGAAAGAAGAGAGTAATAAGAAATGAAAAAAAATGAGGAATAAAGAGAAAATAATTGGAAAAGATAAAGAAGAAGTGAGCTGAACGAAGCAAAGAGTCTTTCTCTTTGCTTCGTTCAGCTCTCTTCTTCTTTACGAATGATAATTTTTTTTTTTTTTAAATGAATTATAAAATCTATTCGAACAGATATGGCAATGATATTAATGACCATATAGAAAAAGCAAGAAAGAAAAAAAAATAAATAAAAGGGTACAAGCTAAAAGAAATAGTTTGTCTTTTTTCAGGAAAAATGATAAGATTCTGGTACAAACAGTACGGAATAATAATAAAAAGAAGAAAAAAATAAACAGCTAGCTTGAGTGCGCACAAAACGAATTCGATGGAGAAACGGTAAAGAAAAAGATCAATCAATGAATGGAAGATCAACGAAGACTCGATAAAAAAAAAAAAAAAAGATGAAATTAAAAAAGAAAAAAAAATTGGGACGCTTGCTGTTCAAACAAGAACATGTATTCATGGCACACGTGCTGGCTACGATTGTGGGACATTTCCTGCCACGTGCGTGCATCAGCAAGTGTAGAGACGCACACGCGCAGCCGATCATACGCACTCAGTCATACATCCATAATCACACACTTAAAAAAAAAACAAAAAAAAAACGTACATCTCCTCATTAGATATTTAAACGTTTATATAACTGTGAACTTTTAGTGATATGTTATTTTTGAACGAATCACTTTCGAGACTCTGTGACCAGACCAAATCAATATCACTATAGACCTATATTTAATTAGCTGGTAAATATTTCAAGAGATTCAGCCCTAACTCAATCCGTCCTGGGTAAGACGATAAACTACGTCCAACAGCATGGCTTCTGATCATGAGGTTCTGAGGAGCGTGGAGCCACCTTTTAATTTCTGGTGTTCCCACGTCCACCCTGACGCGGGGTGGTAGAATCTGTTAGGGTCCCAACTATGGGCAAATAGTTAACCCCCAAACTGGGATGAAAACACTATGAAAGTGTAAAAATAGATTTTAAATAGCAGCGATAAATTTTTTGAGGAAAAATTGTTACCAGCAATAC